TCTTACCCTTTTGAGCAGGATGAGTGGCAGAGGTATCCATAATGTACAGACTTTACATATTGGAGGAAACTTGTGAAACAGCACAGTCTTCTGACTTCTGCACCATGCATACTGATCTTTGAGGAAGGTGAGATACATCGCTCAGTCAATCCCAACTGCAATCGCACACATAGCGGGGATATTAGATAGACCTGCTCCAAGAAATTATGCCCAGGTGTACAGAAAAATGCAACAATCTGCAAGCAATCTTACAGCCAGTCATTTATACAAAAAACACATGACGTATTCTAAAAACTTGGAGGGTCTGTGCCTTTCCACCACCACTTGCACATCTGTTGTGATTTCAAGTAAACGAAATGAGGAGAGTTAGGAAGTCTCCAGAATGTCAATATGCTCTTTATCTACACTGATCATTTACACATGAGCTTTATTACCCCCCTTCAAAACAAGATGTGAGCAAGGTAGTGCCCCATGATGAAGTTCTGCTCCCACCTGGGCAACCAGCTGGGAATTCATAGACAGAAAGGCAGCTTTCCAATTCATTTTGTTTTGCCTTCCTACCTTATACAATTGCTAAATCTTACCTTATTAAAATGCCACACATTGGATGGATCAAATTATGATCATTTATGTGCCATATGAAGGCAAATCACAAGCAGCTCTTTGCTCTGCTCTCAGTAACATGGAGAATTAGTTCTAATTTCTTGGAAATCAGAGCCAGGAAGATTTTTAAGGAATGTTTTTTGCTTTCTATGAAAATACTGCACAGATATATTGTGACCAAGTAAACATTAAAATATATCTAGAAAAGGTAAGTGATATGAATAAGACTGTAAAACAACTAAATGTTTTGTATTTTGAGTCTTAGATTCTATCCAGCCATTTTTTTTTGGCAAAATAACATTTTGTAACAATGTTCTAGTTCCAATGTAATACATTTAAAGGCAGATTTTCAGCTTTTAATCTCAAATGCTAACACTTACAATAAGTGGCCTTATTTATTTTTGCAACTTTTTGAATAAATGGTGTTAATTAAATTCTGTTCCAGATATTTTTCATTTACTTATTTTTTTCTAAAGAGAAGATACTTTTCCCCCCAATATAGAATATCAAAGTGATTCCATGATAGACTGCAAAATACCAATTCAGGCTCACTTAGCTGTACCTGCTAAAAAGTTGTATATTTTAGCTATTTTAGCTTTACTGTGTTAATTTTCACTCACCATGTAGAAGAGATCACTGAGGAATGGAATTTAGAGGAATAAGTAAAATAGCTTCATCAAGTCTCCTCAAGCTGCAGAAGTAGAGTCCATCTGCTTTGCGCTGCCATGTGTTTAACTGAGGGCAAACACCTGCACTGCACATTAATCAAAACACCAGACACCTCCCAAATTCAGGGGAGACCGTAATTATTGTTTCTGTGAGGAGCCATTAACTTTGCAGTCTCCAAAGAGAAGTATGCACAGAACACCATCCCTCGGCAAAAAATAATCACCGCTAGTAGCTCAGAGCAGAGGCGGAAAAAGCTATGTTTTCAAAAACCCAAGCCCATAAACATCACTAAATCGTTACCATTTGATCAGCAACTTTTTATAACTAAAAAGTGGTTAAACGAGCTGTTTTCCTATTGTCATCCTTCCCTCCACCTTGTGTCTTCTCTCTCACTCCCAACTTTCTTACCTGGAAGCTACCAAGAAATAGTAATATATCTTCTGGCCATTAATTCTGGAGTTTGAGACCTGCATATGACTACAAAAAGGAACAACAAAATAAGGTACAGAAGGAATTTTCCATGATGAAGTAGCATCTCACAATGACACAGGCCAAACAGTTTCCACAATTCTCTGTTAAAACTGTGATTACAAAGATTCTGTGCAATCTCCAGTTTTCAAGACAGATACACTTAACACAAGAGACCATTATCCCATGAGTATGATCAATGCGATCTTCCCAGTATTCAGATAACTCTTCTCTTTCTTGATAAACAACAGCCCCAGCATTGCTAGCTGTTAAAATGATGTGTGGAACAATAACTGACAATAGAAATATTAGCGTCACATAAAAGACTGACTGCAACAGAATCTTTTATTTTTTCCCCGCAATGAATGCAATAAAAGCCCTTCAGAAAAAGGAATTTGTCTGAACTCCGCGTAAGTCTAACCCAAAAAAGCAAGACATGGGGAAACACAAGACCAAGTGCCTGTTTTAAGCAAGCTCTGCCTGGCATCAGGTAGGCAAAACATACTGTTATTTTCATAGCACCTGAAATCTTATGCTAATATACAGAAATTTGCTCTTGCAACAGTATCAGATGATAGAGCACAGCTTGTTTTCTTAAATATATCTTAGAGAACTGAGTGACGGAATACTCTGTTGAAATAAACACACTTCCACTTACCATGTGCTATACTAGATATATGCTGTATTAATAGGAACACTAGATATTTATACCCCAGCCATACCCTTGATTCCTCATGTCCAACGTCTTTGGCCCTGCAAGTACTTAATTTAAGGAGTACTTGCTTCTAACTAAGAATGAAAACTTTACCTGCATAGGTAATTTTTTTGCTTTGCAGATGAGGAGAAAACAATGCTGTCTTTGCACTGTAAAACAATGCTGTCTGTTCTTCTTGAAATAAGGCAATGAAAGTCACCTACCTACTGTCATGGTTCTTAGCACAGCACCACTACAGCCCTCTCACCCACCTTCTGCCCTTTGCTCAGCTTGCCCCACCTGTCCGAAGGAGTCATAAACACAGGTGCGTTGCTGACTCCACTTCTGCACCAGTGTCTCTCTCCTATGTGATCCTTTCCATACATGTGGTGAGGTACCAATTCCAGAAGAAACCTGTCTTCCTGTTGGACCACTGACAGCATACAACTTTGTGGATTCTCTGGTATCTAATAAAACGCAAGCTGACACTGCCACACACTGGAAAGTTGAAAACGAACGAACACATGACAAATCCATTAGAAGTTGGTCTTCATTCATTCCGGGAGCTCACCCGCCTACTGGTGCTCACTTTCCTTTTTGAACAGCGAGAAGTTCACAATAAAGAATTATTGCTACTTCGTTTCTTTTGGAACATTATTTATAAAGTAACAAACATGTCTGGCCCTTTAGAGATAAAAAGCAACATCCCTGGCCTCAAGCACCTGTATACCAGGGATGGCTCAAACTCACCGTGCACTTATCATCTGGTATTTATTTTTCATGATACAGCGAGGGTAAATTTGATCTTTTGACACAGAGGTATCCATTCCATCTCCAGGGCTGGAAAAGACACTTCATTCTAACATATAGCTGAGCTCAAAGACAAACCTAACACTTGAACTGCACAGAGAACCACCATGGAGTACAAAAAAAGATGAAAAACATGGGATAAATTACATGCATCTTTCCTAGAGAGGAAACAGCAAGCTAAAATGAAACACTTTTCTTCCCCAACCCCCCAGTTTTGAAATTTCTCGTTATTTGATGGTATAAAAATGGATGCCATTTCAGATCACAACCCCTTCCATTTTTTACTGATCATTTTTTTTCTGAAACATTCTGGTTCAGTAGTGCCACTGAAATTAGGAAAAAACCCAGCATAATAGAATTTAATTCTCATGCTATTCTAGATACCATTGCCCGAGTGACTTCAAATTGCCTTTGAATGAACTAGAAAGTTCAAGTTAATTGAACACAAGGATTCACATAGCAAATTATCTTACTACTAATGGTATGGAAGTAAAAAAAGCTTGATTAGTAAACCCTGCTGGATACTTGCAATGTGAGAAGTCGCAAGATGCCAGAACTAAATCATAGAAGTGAAGATCAATAGTTCTTTAATCAATGGTGGATTACAGTGGGATTTATTCTGCTGAAACCAGCAGGGGCAGATAAATCCCCCACAGAGATTAATTACTGCGAAGGGTGGATGGAAAGAGAGGAGTGTGGCTACCTTTGTGACAACTGTAAGTGGCAAGAGCAGCAGCAGCGGGTGTACAGAGCTATTGCCTGGATCTCTGCTGGTGACCGGCAACTCTCTCATCAAATTCCCAGCACTTCCTCTTAGTTCCTTCCAAAAAACTGCCTTGAAGTCCATGTATTTCAACAAACACAAAACTTATCAAGCGAAAAGCAGGGACAATTTCAGAATGGTTTGGGGGCTTTGTTTTTAAAACGATGGATTGTTAGAGTTTCAGGTTAATAAAAATTCCATATGGTGGAGGTTAAACCACCAATGTAAATGGTAAAGGAACAGCTTTATTTGGACAGGTGCTGATCACATTCACAGCACTCACTTAAGCCAAGGGGCAGTCAGAGCTGCTGTGGGGCTCTGAATATTGAGGCTCTCCATGTAATCCATCACTGTATGCATACTTATCATTTTCATTACAGCCTTTGGTGCTAAAAGTTACTATTCACACAAACTAACCACTAATGCATAATGCACTAGTGTTAAATAGTACAAACTGAGACACTAAGCAGGCTAAGCACAAGAGAGAAATCATGGAATACCTCTTGGATGCAAAAATGAATTAGAAACAAGTCATTAATTGAAATTACTATGATTTTGAACTACTTAAGGAATTTACTAAAATGAAAAACAGAGCTAACAGCACAGCTTGCCAATGTTTGATTCTCTACCGGCCAGAGGGAAAGATATCCAATTGGTCCCTCCTCCATCCTTACTATATGTTTACTTACCTTAACAACAACAGACAGTAAGATGTAGAGTCCATCAGATATTAAATTTGCTGGACATAATCTGATGGATGCATTTGTTCACTTACAATGGTTATTACCAGGAATTGTTTTGATATCAACTTCTCAGTGTTGTTTTCTTGTAGAAAATATTCCAGAAAATACTTTGACTTCTCCTGCCATCCCAGGTGTGCTGTTCTATTTTCAATGACTGTGAATTTAGGAACTTAAAAGAAATTTATGTATGCTTTATCTCTGGATTTTATCAGATACTAATGATCACATCTGTAGAGTAAGTCAGAAAAGGTTCTTTATTGGGAAAAAAATGGAAGTTTAATACACTTATGATATAAATTACAAAAATTATTTTAAAAAATCACCTCTTCAGAATACCCAGGTTAATTGAAGATGGAGTCTAAATGAAGCAAATAAAGTCTTTCCCAGGTCGTCTCCTATTTTAAAGCAGGTCATAAAAATAATCCAGGCCTTGTCCCAGCTCCCAGATGGATATTCCAGTGCCCAACTCTTTTGCAAGCTCTAAACGCAATTGGATGGACTAAGACAAAGACACACACAGCAATCAGCTTTTACTCAGAGGCATTAGACATTCCCTGCTGCCATTTCTTCACACCATTATCAGGCTTTTAAAAAATAAACCAGATGCTGAAAAACCTAACATCTGTATTTCAAATATTCCCTGGTTACCAAGCAATCATTCAGTGAGAGACAGTTAATTGCACCAGTTAATTCAATGACCTAATACATGATAGCTACCTAAATAAACAAAATACCACAGAAATAAATCAGATTTATGAACTATGCAAAGGACTATTCTAATTTAGGCTATCATTTTGCAATGTACAGAAATTCCAACTCTTCACAGAAGTTTCCCAAGGGTAAAACAAAACTTTACCACTGAAAACAATTAGAACAACTTTTCAAATACCATCAAGGTATCTTACCTATCCTTGCCTTCTCCCAAAACAGTCATAATTTTCCACATCAGAATTTCATTTTAAAGAGATTCTGGGAGATTAACATTGAAAAATAGCCTTACCAGTGCTACAACCATTGATTTAGATGTTTATAACGGAAATAACGTTACCAATTTATATTCTGCGCTTCCCTCAGTTCACGGAATCAAAATAATTTTTTGAACCTTTTACTTTCAGGTTTTCATACTTTGAAGTGCAGCACTGCAACGTCTGAACTGCTCACACTGCAAGGGCGTGCTTAAAGCTCATCTCCATAGGAAACCGAACTAAGACCTTAACAGATCTGCTGGGCTTGGAGTTCATGACTGCTTTGAATTAATCATGAACAAGCCGATTCTGAGCAGACAACCCATCACTGATGACAGCATTAGAAAGGGGAAGAAATACACTTGTGAGGGGGAAATAAAACAATATTTAGTGTTCCACTGACCAACTTTATGTGAACGATTTGTTTTGTTTTGCCCCAGCATACAAATCTCATAAAGTATTTAGTTTCAAACTTATTGAAATTGGAAGGATATTCTGTTTCTCCATCTATAAAATTTACCAAACACCACAGCTGAGTATCTGTTATTATTAAGAGAAGATTTAATTTAAGAAAATGTTAAGGAACAAATGTTCCTTAATTAATTAAGGAACTTAATTAACCCAGCTAGTACTGACGATAGCCTGCTGAAATCATTCCACATGACCAGAGAGAACGTAGCGTGACGATATTCAGAAGAATTTATCTTTTCTCCTGGAGGTTCACAATGAGGTGCTAGGACTGGTACTAGCAAGAACATAGTTAGACATGATAATTAATATCCCACATGTGTTAGTACTTCCACTAGTATTAGATTACTGAAGGGAAGTATCTTCATCTTAATGGTACTTAGGGGAATATTCACATTTAGAAAAAGGGAGCTTTTGATAATTTCACACTGGTTTAACCATGTAAAACGTCTCTGTTCTCTCTAAATATGATATACTTTCATTACAGAAGTAATTTCCTTCCAATATTAAAAACCAGCAGAGGCTTAAGACACTGCCTTCAGGTTAATGTAAGAAAATCTAAAGACAGCTTCCTAGGAATAAGGCTGAAAGTAACCATTGTATCATATATACTGGTATACATATATCGTGTGGCCAGAAATCATATGCCCCCATATGGCCTGATTACAGCAGGGCCAAACATTTCAGTTTTCAAAACCCTGAAATATGCTGCAAGTAGCAAGAACTGAAAGAGCAGGGGAATGCAGGGCTACAGTATGAGAAAGGACCCTGCTACAGAGGAAGACAAAAACTCCCTCAGGCTTCCAGCCAGCATGATCAGAGGGAAATTTCCTTCCATGTCTCTTCTCTGGCAATCAGCAAGTCTGTACACACATGAACTGTGCATTCGAATGGATCCTCTCCGAGCACTGGTTCACCCTTGTGTGTCTTATCTCTAGACATGGCTAATCTTCAAAGATCCCAAAACCCAATTATGCATTAGACAGAAAAACTGATCTTGTCATACAGGCAGCCAGCTGAAGCCTTGAATCATAACAACTATGCCAGGGCGAATTTTCACAAAAGCGTAAGCCCCAGTTCAGAATTTTTATGAAGTGTCTCAATAATTCAACAATCAAAAAAATACTTCTTTCCTTTTCCTACCCTATGTCCAGAAAAAGGGGCACCTACCTTCAGTGTTGGATAGAAGATGGCATGCTTTCCTCCTTTATTTCTGCAAAAGCATGAAAATGAAATAGTCACAATGGGTTTGGTAGATTCCCATAGGATCTTTAGCTGAGGTTAGAATTCAAAGACAGTTTCATTCCTTCCCATAAAAAGGAAAGGAAGGTAGACTGCGCTGGAGAAAATAACTGATTTTATTCTGAAGAAGCTACTACGATTAAAAAGAAGATACATCAGTACGTTCAGCACATGGGACTTAAAATGCCCATATCAAAGGCAGAGACTACTTGTCATTTGGTAACTGGTATATTTGAGATTTCTTACCTAGTGGCCATTCCACTCTGGAAGCTGAGGGACTCTGTCTCTGAAACCAGACACTTTTAGAATCAACGTCCATTTGGTCCATACTTGCACTCTAGCTACTTCAGTTACAGAGCGTGGGGCCAAAATTTTCTCTACTTCTCTTCCTTTTCTACTGCAGATAAAAACTTCTACTCCTGTCTCTCCTCTACTGAAGATACAAACACATCACAGCACACAAATCCAAAGGGAAAGGGAAAGGAAGGTAGGCAGGGGAAGGTATGCCTCAATGATATGTCTGGAGAGTCAAGTATGCAACCTTGTTACTATCCTGCAGATATCAGCTCCAGGAATATTTGTCAGAAAGGTTCCCAGGACAACCTCTCCCGACTTCAGTGAGCTTCAATGATGCTAGCAGGGCTAGCGTTAGAAAGTTCAAAAGAAGACTGTGTAAAGTCAGAGAACTCTTTTGAGGAGTCTTTGCACAGAAATTGCATCATGCCATATTCAAGTCACAGTAACAGGGGGAAAAAAAAAAAAAAACTGGTTATCTAAGGAATTCCTTGAAAGGCTTCAGGATAATGCCTTTCAAAACATCTAAAGAGTGGAACACAGCTTCTTAACAACTAATACAAATTTTGGAAAGGTAACTTTCATGATTAAGATGAAATCCTAACTTCTCCAGGCATAACATTTCATCCAAGAAAGAACTGGCCATAACAAAATACAATACAGGCAGAGTTAAACAAGAGAAATTTAATTACTGCATACTGGCAGGCATTAAGGAGGACAACTTCTAAGAGAAGCGAAAAGGCTGATGGTTAAGACAGATGCTCCAAGAAGATGCAAACCCAAAAAGGGGCTCTCGTGATAGAGATGGTTTGATATTAGAGGTAAGTAAATGCACTGAGATAGCCTGTTGTGACATGGTGTAACATTATTATAAAACTTTCAGACAATATAAGACAGTTGCACCTATGCACGTCTGAAAAAGATGAAAATATTTGGATGTCAGGTGCAAACTGGGAAAGATTTTCTCAAATTCCAACAATTACCATCTTTTATGTTAAGCTAAATGCTACTGGTACACAAGGCAAAGACAGGGCAAGCTACACTAGGCGTGTACACTGTTGCTGCATTTTAAACCACTAGTAAGGAAAAGGACTCAAGTAACAGGTGGTCCCACAGCAGCACTTCACCAGTTAGGGCAGGAGGACATGCGGAGTGCATGGACAGACCAAGCAGATGCTGCTAGTAAAATCTCCTGACTCAAGTAAATGCATACCGTTAAGGGGAAAGAGCACAGGGACAAGCACTCAGAAGCAACAGCTTTCTCTAGCCATTTGTAATGGTAACCTTTCTTTGCCTGCTACATGAAAATCATTAGCTGTACTTTGCTTAAAGATTCATGATTTGATTTCTTAGCAATTGCAGACATGCAAGATTTCCAGGTGAGATGCTTCACTAGTGAAACATATTTCAGGCCTGGCTGCCATGAATATGCAACGTAACCAAACCTTTGTAACACAAAAGAGGCGACTGGATAAGAGATCCCTTATGTTGCCCTCTTCTGCAGTCAGCTGAACCACTGCAGACGTGCTGAGCTGCATGGCTGCCTGCCAGGCATAACCCAGAAAGTGAAGTTTAGAGTGATTTTCAGATCCAGTGTATTTTATGCATCAAAACCTCTTCCAGAAAGCCCACAAATAAGAATTTCCAAATATTACCTTTCAAAGGCAAACAACGTAGTACTGACAGGTTTTCCCTTTCCTGCATGTTCAGTTTGCAAGGAAACATTTAGGAAACGTGTTTGAGGAGTGAATCCCAGAAGCCTGCCATTTAAACAGAGCTCTCAGATTTACTTTTCAGAGAGCAGGCTTTCATCCAGTGGTCACTGTGCCTCCAGTTAGATTTTGCATTGAAGATCAGTGAAACAACACTTCTGATTTATTCCTTTTTCGTTAACACAAAAGACCTTGTAATTGTTTGCCATAGACAAAATAATTTCAAAACAGGATACCAAAGAACTCAGAATGAAAGAAAACAGACTCCAGTCCTTCTATGCAAAAAAAAGAAAAAAAAGAAAAAAAAGAAAAAGAAATACTGCTGGCCAACATGTAAATGCTTTTTCCTGGTAAGGAACACATACAGCTGAGAAGCCTAACAGCCAGGAGAAAACTGCAGGTTGAGAGAACCTTGGAAAATTAAATTAAAGATATAAAGGTAGTACAAGTTTTAGGGTTTCTTTAAGATTAAAAATATTTAAATTAAGAAGGTATTTAGGAAAAAGCAATGTAGTCATATTGATTTTTTTCTTAAAGCCTCATAAAATGTATTTTATTTTCAGCAGTGTCTTCTTTACATTACCAATACACTGCGTAATACACAAGATAAAATTTTGTAGATGTAATAAGTTTTTGTTTATATAATTTTACCAAAAAGAGGAGGTGTATAAAAAGAGTAAATTATAGAAGCTTGATAAGCATCTGCTGTTTACTTAAAATCTGTTGTAAATGGAATTTTCCAAGCATCAGGAATCCTCTTGTCATTTCATTACGAGAAAGACAGGACAAAGAAAGCTACTACCCTTCCTCTTCAGGCTCTTTCTAAAGAGAATATTCCCAGACTTTTTTAACTACTCCATCTGAAAGTCCCTTGATATTACTCCTATTACCCTTCGCTATAGTCCATTCGATTTGGTGCAAGTTTGATGCTTGGCCAATCTCATCACTAGGATCATAAAACCAGGCTCTTATTCCCCAACCTTTCCTCAGAACTATTTTTGGCTGGGTTACGGGTAATCACCTACCAGCTCACAGCACCAGTCTCTGATGTTCTGAGTAACTGACACTCAGCAGATAACTTAGATGGATAGCTTCTAAAGATACGACTCACTAGATTTCTAATCCAAAGCCTGTTTTAGCTTGTCTCATTTCATTAACCCTGCTCTGATTTATTTCTCTCTCCTGAAGCACTCTTACAGTACAACTCAGTACTGCCATAAAGATCACAAACAGTAGAATTTCCCTTTGCTGAATTCAGTTGCATAGTGGTGCAGTATAGTTAACTGGTGACTCATTGTGTACCGGACCATGCCCAAGAATATTTGCAGAACAGTACGTAAATAACTGTAACTCACTTTTTGTATTCAAAGTAGTGTTCAGCAATTTGCTCATCCCAGACAATTTTTGGTTTGTGCTCCTTCAAGGTTTCAATGTACCTAGAGATTAAAAACATAGAGATGGAATTAGCTTCTTTGCTAAAAACAGTTATGAAATTAAGTAACAGAAATTTCTGAAAAAGTAATTTTACTGTGTTTAGATGTTGAACATCTTATCAAAAATATCCTCTAGCTAACAATTTAATACATCAAATACAAATAATTTTCTCTGCCACTTTTCTAATTTGCCCTGTTTGCATTTTTAGGCTTTTTTTTGAAGCAATGAAAGAATTAACATTCATCATCTGACAAGATCTGTAACGACACATGATTACAGTGCTTTAACATTTCTGCAATTTGATTCTTGCATGCCAAAACACAGGAACTGAAGTCATTTCTAGGTAGTACCTAATTAGGTCCTCTAAGGTCAGTAAAGGCAATTCTAAATTATAAGCCACTATTATGTGGTGAGAAAAGCTCCTTCATAAAAGGGGCTCAAGTAAATCATCTTAGAATTAACTAAAAAAGTACGAAGATTGTCTAAAATGAAAAGTTACTGCCAAATAACCTTGCATATGAATTTTCACCACCACTAGCTTCTTGGCATTAATTTCTTGCACAGACACTTTGAAAGTGCCAACGACTACTAGTACTGCCAAAGCTCCTGCCAACGAAGAGGCCACATGGGCATCATAGGAATAGCCTCTGTCACGCGCTACTCTCTCTATTCTGCATAGGGATCTTTAACATTTACCTCTTTGGCCACCAATAAGGCTGAATTTAGCTGACGTTTTTCCTGACTAAACGTTGGGGTGGGGGGGTTATCTGGCCACTACCCAAGGAGCACTGGTTTCCTTTATTCCTCGGGGACTGCACCAGGAATTTGAATCCAAATTCCCATTAGCAGTACTTCATCTTCACGGTAATTATGTAAAGATATCACAAGCAAACAGGTTGGTTGTAAGGTATCATTAATTAAGACTATTTTTCTATTTCTGCAATATCAATTAAAACCATCTCTTCCATAACACATCTCATTATTGCCATAATTTATCTGCTCATGACAGGATTCACAAGGAGAGATTAGGCTTCAAATCTTACTTTCAAATAAAAAATTTCCATCTCTTAAGTAAAAGATGTTATAACTGATTTCCATCAACCATTAACCTGACCCTATCAGTGCTGAAATTCCATCTCACTATATACTTTCAAAAGAAGGGAATCAGTTCATATTTCTGAGTTTATAAAAGATTTATTCTCTCCTTCTGTATTATTCTTAGTGCAATTAGAGCGCTCAGTAGTAGAGTGAGTATTTTCTTTCTTTTGCTGTGGTTTGCTCAGTCATGTGTTGGTAAATAAGAGGAAGGGTTCCTGTAGAAAACTGTTGCACCTGTATCATAGTACACTTGCCTGTTTCAGACTAATGTTACCTAGACACTCTGAACATAGTCCTTCCTAACTGAGGCAGTTCCTGACTTAACAAGTGTTTGAAATATGTCATTATTTAAAAAAAAAAAAAAAGCAGATTGAAAAGCAAATTCCCTTCACACTGAACTGCACAAGCATGGGATATCGGTGTGCCTGGGATACAGGCATACAGATTCAATTCCAGCTTCCCAAGGAGGGAAAGGGACGGGCAGAGATAATCCACCTCATCGCGCACAGCCCTCCCTCCTCTTTCCACCTCTCATCTCATTCTTCTCCTTTCTGCTTGTATTTATTGCTTTTTCTCTCTCCTCTCTTCTTATCTAATTTGTCTCTGTCTCTCTCTACTGCCACTGTCCCAGCTCTCAGCTGCTTTTATGTTCCTATCCAGACTCTAATAATTTGCTTCCTCATCCATCAGCTCTTACTAGGTTTCTTCTTTTACCAAGCTGCCTCAGCAACTAGAGTATGATAAACACTGAAAAAGCTCAGCCTCACTGTCTTGCACTACATATCCCCTGGGAAGCTGTGGCCGTTTGCAGAGAAAGTCATGCTCAGCTTCTCCAGCCTTGGCCTGAAGCAAGGTCAGCGGTGATGAAGTATCCAGAGAGAGTTGATGCTAGCCCCCAGTGAACCTCCCATGCAACATATATAGGGGATAAACGTACATGGATCGTCAGAAATAGGACCAAAAGGTACATGCCACCTGCATGTTCACCTTGCAAATTTCAAAATACTTTTCAAAAACTTGTAACTGCCATCCTGGCTCAGTTAAGTAGGTTTAAATAGGTCTGGGTTTAACGGAACCAAAGCAACGCATTTTTCCCTAAAACTTTCCTTCTGAAATAGCTAAACATTTAAAATACCAGTTCAGCTCTGACAACTGGCTTTGAAAGTTTAAAAGTTATGACTTACTAGAAGCATGGCCATATAGTGCTAATGTGTTTGGAAACGCGATTTTAAGTCTACCTGCCAGCTTTTATACAAGACTCAAAATCTGCAGCGCTTTACTGCAGTTTACGGCTGTGGCTCTGCCAAAAAGGACATCTCTTGGTCCACAGACACAATCTGTTTTTCTTACGTGACTCTGTTGGTTACAAAGCCACGGGGCACGGTGGTACTCAAACACAGCCTCTTCAAGCACCCCCGTCTGTAGAACAAATGGGAAGCCAAAATACACATATGATGGAGTACCTGTAAAGTCAGTTCTGTTAAAGCTGTTATCCATGAATAGCACTAATATGGCTGTGCCTACACACCACTGCACTTTGCAGCACATTCAACTAATAAATAAAGGATCCAGAAGAAAGGTTCTTAGAGTTTATGGCTGGTGCTCCTTTTCTAAGACACTTTTCCACCAAAATATGAAAAACGGTATGTCACCTTAGGGAAAAAACAGTGCTCTATAGACACACCGAAGGAGGTATTTATCTTAATGGGTAAGGCTTTTTCAACAAGAATATGAAGAAACAAATCTTTAGTATCATATCTTTTGGATCAAAAATACACAGGCTAGGAAAATACATAGCCTCATATATAACTGTTAGACTAGAATTTATTTACTCTTGTAAACATTTTTAATCCTCAGGTGCTTTGCTTTACTAGAACAAAGTCATTCTTCAAAATGGTACCACAGAACAGCTTTAGAGAAAAGGAAATCAATACTGAGCATGCATCCCAATTTCATGCTTTTCTTCTAACACTTTAAATTCTCTCCTCAATCTTCGCATGAGCAAAACTGACTAGAAGCAACAGGTCTCTAACTATATGAAAAAATCAGTCTTTTGCTCTCTTTTGGGGCATTTAAACTATGTGATCTTTGATGATGTAAGCTTGATCTTCTATTTCTGGAGACTTGCATTGGCTCCTGCAGCAGCACACTGGGCCTGTCTTCAACTTGTTCCTAGTTAGGATGAGACTATGCATGGATACACCGGAGAAGATCTGTACCATACATTTTTCTTTCCAGTCAGCTTCAGTTACAATAGCCGTAGCTTAGTTATTAAACCCTGACCATACCGGGAAGCGCACCTCACAGCAGCAGTGCCTTTGCATGGTAATAAAGGCTAAATTTTAGACTGAACTAGATAGAGTCAATCTTCCTCCTTTTCAGACAGCCGTATCTCTTCATAAAAGCATGAGAAACTGTGTGGAAAGCTGCATTCTGAAGCTCAAGGGTCTAGATTTCTGATGCAAAACAAATGTACAGAAATACTTCCAAAACAACACTCCTGGTAGTTCCCCTGAGAACTTTGCTCAGCTTGGTCCATAACTCCCAAGCAGGATGGGTTTGCTCTGTGCAGCGGGACACTGTGCAAAAGGACAATATGTATCTTCAAAACAAGTTCTTTTTAGGGAGGATATGGTCTACAAGTCAAAAAGTTTTCACTTAATGTTGAATTTTAACTACCATGACACGCTTGCATCTTTTAACTCTTCAGACTTTTCTTAAACTATTTCCTTTTTGGTGTGAGAAAATATCATGGAATGATCTGATCTAGAGACCTTTCAAGTCTTTAAACAGTAAAGGTTTTAAAATTGAGCAAAACAGAATCAGTAGCAAGAGGAACAACTCTTTTTAGAAGGTGCTTTTGCACTGGTGGTGAGAGAAGAGATGGGCATGAGCCAAAAGAAACAACATAAAACTGTCTGATGGGCTGCCATAGCTATAGAATTGTCAAAAATAAGTTTTATATTCAAATATTCCATTTTACAGCTGCAGCAGAAATGTTTCACTGAAGCTAGCACTTGAATCTCAAGAATATTTTTATCTTTCTCTGTCTTCTTTTCAGAGGATCATTTCTAAATAGCCCCTGCAAAATTGCTGAATATACGGCTAGCTGTTAACCAAATGCAAGCATGAAACTAACAGTTTGGTAAAGAACCCTTTAAATGGTAATAAATGAAAATACGAAAGGAACAAAAATCTGATAAATAAAAAATACATATTCTAAGTTGCCACTCGCTTGACCCCTAAAATTGCAGCATGCAAACCGTAGAGAAGTCTTGCAGTTTAACTCTCTTTAGATATTAGCCTTCAAGCGTTTTTGGAGTAAGCACAAATTTATGAAAAAACTAGCTGTACAGTCAGTAAAAGTATGATACTATATATGTGTGCATATAAATATATATACACACACAAACACATAGATATAGACACAAAAACCCACACATATGCAGAGCTGAATAATAAAGTTCAGCAATAAATAGAACAGTGAAGTCAGTTTTCACCACAAAGGTCCCACCACAGTCACTTCAGCACTTTTTTACTCAATCTCCTCTCAGAGTATGTGACGTTTAGTACCATCATATTTACCATGCATAACTACAAAACACAAACTTTTCAAAAGGTGGTGAAGTTGTATCCCATTCTAGGCCTTTCTTAGGCATTGAAGAATCCGGACTTATTTTAAAAGTTATTTCAAAAGCAAAAAGATAGATTATCCAAGAAAAAGACAGCTAGTATGTATTTTACAGAGGAACATAGGAATGCAATAAAGATATGCAAGCAGAAACACTAACTAACGTTACATCATTTTTTACTCTGACGATTTATGTATGAGTGGAGTGGAAAGTACATTCTAGAAACCTTATTTATTCAGCCTGCATAGCATGTTACTCAAAAACAGTTCTGT